TAAATTAGTGCAGCGTTCGGAGAGGAGGCAGTTCAGTTGTTGCAAGCATTGCAATAGCATGGTAAATATAGTGAAGAAAAGTCGGTGCTTAGTGTGTCAAACGGAGAAAGGGTTGAAGTACTCTAAGGAGTGGCGCTGGGCGTGTGGGTGGTGCTGTTGCAGCATATTTCTGGTTTATTGTTGGACGTGTATTCAACACCGTCCCCATAAGATAGGCTGGATTTACGATACGAATGAGAAGGACGAGGAGAAGTGTATGTGGTCTTTGTTAGACTCTCCATAAGATTTGGAAAACGTAGGAGTACGAGGAGGACTAGCCAGTGGGGTGATGTCAGGAGGGAATGGATTTCTAATTAAATGGAGTGAACTGCAAGATGGATATAGAGTGCGCTATCCATACGGATTGAGTTATGAAGGAAGTGTGAGAAATGCATATGTAGAATGGAGCGTGTGTCAAGAAAGCTATGCGAGGGGTGTAGAATGGAGCGAAGAACGTTGTCAGCAGTATTACTACATTGGTACGAGCATGATGGGCTCCATAGTATGTGAAAGGTGCATCATAGGAGCAAAGTATGCTCTATTTAGTATCTACGATGATGGATATGTTAATAAGATGCACATACATAGTAAGCACCTAGCAAAGTGCTTGTATTGTGAAAGAAGAATAGCATCGAGCAGTGTACGTCAGTGTGACAACAGTCCGTTGGGAGCGAAGCAGCTATATAGTTGCCGAAGAAGGAAGGTGTCGAAGTCATAGGGAAAAACAGGCGGTGTGATAAGGTAAGTGAAGATACTGAGTGTAGGGATGCAAATACAAGACAGGTAGTTTGAAAAATTTCAAAAATCAGTGAAAAATAAAAAATATAGTGATAAATGTAAATTAAAGCAATTGGGGGTGACAACCCCTAGAAAGGGGTGAAAAAAAATTGTAAAAAAATCAAAGCACAATTTGGTAAAAGTTTGAAATTGATCGGTAACCAAACAACGGAGATATTAAAGATTTTTGTAAAGGGGTAGCAGCCCCCGATAGTAGAAGGAAGTATACGGATATAGTCAAGTGAGGTATCAAATTTAATGGGAACAAGTACTGGTATCGTGAAGAGATATAAAAACATAATTAGAGAAGAGTAGTGAGCTCGGGGGATGAGAGGGGTAGTAAAAAATAAAGTATAGGGGTTGAGATGTTTAAGTCGTTAAAAGTATGTCGTAGTAGAATGTCTTTATAATAGTGAAAATGTTAAATAGAAAAGTTTACAAAAAAGAGCAAAAAAAGGAAAAAAAAATTGTAGGGGTGTAAGTACTCATAATAGTAGTAATAGATATATCTAAAAGTTTGAATTTTTTGATGAATTTAGGCGTCAACAGAAAAATTTTTGGAGTAATAATTAGAGAGAAAAAAAAATAAAGAAAAATTCACCCCCGGGGGATGAAATTGAGATAAGGGTATTTTTGAGCTCAAATGGGGGGTAATCACTATCGAAGGGGGGGAGGGGGGGGGGGGGGTGGGCGCTGGCCGCTGGAGTAGGGGGGAGGGTGAGGGTCTATGTCGAATCAAAAATTTGTTGGTGTCCGCGGCACAGTTTGAATTAGTTTTGACATTTTTTTTTTAAATAATAACAAAAAAAAGTATGGGAATGAAGACAGCTAGTACAAGGACCTATTTGTTCTTATGAAGTTTTTGTGTAGGGAGGGTAGTAACGAAGATATAGGGGGTGAAGTACCCCTAACATGAAAGATAAAATTTCATAACAGTATGTAGTGAAATGGATTACAGGGATTATAAAGAGACATAAATGCTAATAACAAAACGTTGTAGTATCATCAGGAAAACAGATATAAGGGTGAATTACCCCTAACCTAGATGGTATAATTTCATAAAAGTATGTAGTGAAATGGAATGGAGTGGTAATATAGAGATGGAAATGCTAATAACAAATTCTTGTAATATCACCAGGGAAAAACATATAGGGGTATTATACCCCTAACATTAACTAAGCCATTTCTGTAAAATACTTATAGAAATCGAGGGTATCAGTAATTGGAAGACATAAACAATAATACAACAAAAGCATAAAGTCAATAGAGACAATGATGTGGGTGTAAATGACGCGTTAAAGAAAATTTTAAAATTTTTAAAATAAGTTTATGAACATGAAATTGATGTAATAATAATAACAATGCATAGATGTTGTAAACTCTTTTATTGGGTTGGGTTTATGGTCTTACGGCTAACGAATAGATAGTTAATGGTTCTAGTGTTTTTATTTTTTATTTATATGTTTCACATAAACCTCAAAGCCTACAACCTTACAAATAAAATCTTTGACATAATTCCTTAAAACTGAAATGCATAACGACCCATCCATGATTAAGGACTGGTATACCCTGAATCTGTGGATGGATCATCGAGATCCCATACGAGATTGTCAATCCGAACTGCTTCTGGAATGTCAACCTCGAGTGGTTCGTCAAGAGGAACAAGGTTGTTATGGAGATCTTCAATCTCCAATTCACCTTCCGACTCACTCTCTGACGAAGGTGCCTCCTCCGCATCTTCACCCTCAGTTCCTCGTCAGACTCGATGTCGGCTACGTCTGCTAACAGAGCATTACCGACATCGGGTGCAACACCTCCCGCATTGAATAAAATCAATGTGGATTCTGTGCTGTCAAAACTGAGCGGACTAGCCCAGCCATCTTCATGGAAGACATACAGATCATCTTGATCGCGACCATCAATGACGATGACTGAGACGCGAAGGAATGGAAAAGAGACCAGAGTGAATATATACAGATGCTCCCCTCCTCCGTTGCCAGATGGTGGAAAATCGAGATCGCGAAAGTATAATTATGGGATGTTGTGAAACGTAAAATCGAGCATAAACGATTATGGGGTAATATATTTTGACTGTTAATTAAAAGGCAGATGGTAGATATCGCGAAGGTAGAAAGTCGTGAAAGGTGGGTAGAAGGGACATGTATTTATATCAGTGTCGATGGTGCACACCGTCACTGCAGTCTAAACGCTCCATATGGGACGCATCAGTAAAATAGTATATTATAAAATTGTTTTCTGTGTTAGGTTGCCAAAACGTGCTCAAGAGAGTATCTGTGTGCGCCTGGAAAGCAGTGCAAGTACTGCACATTCTCCGATAGTCAGCGCCCAATTCTAGAAAAACTGTTGAAGCCCCGTGTTGTACGTATACTACAAAATGTTCAGGTTGTGCCACCACTTGAAACCGTTCGCGCTTCGATGACCGAGTGCCCTCGAACAACGTCGATGCCTAGTACTTCGGCGAATGATGTATCCGTGGAAATTGTTAGCATGGGCTCGCAAACCATGCTTAACAATTTTATCGCCGACGGACAAAATGTGTCGAACGATGATGGCGACATCAACATTGAGGCATTGTTAGCATCCCTCAATCCGGACCTGGACAGTGCAACAATGATGGATGCGTACAATGCTTGGCCATCATTGGAACTGAGTTTGTTGGGAGCGGAGTCGAGGCCGTCCACGTCCAGAGCCACTTCGACACCCCAAGAGTCGTTGATGTCTGCCGCGGTCGCGAGTGAACGGTATGGTGCGGACGAGGAACTATATCGCCACACGTGGATCAAAGATTTGCCGTTCACGCAACTGAACGGGCCGCGTGTGCGCGACGTCGAGTTGAGAGAACCGTTGGCACAACTTCAACAGATCGCGATGGAACTAAATCGGGATACGTGGATCTAAGAATTGCCGCTCACGCAACTCGAACGGGCTGCGAATGAGGAGGGGGCTAGACAGTGAAGGGACAGTTAAGTTAAGAGGGATGAACTGGTTTCGCAATGGGCATCAACTACAGAATGTGCATATTGAGGCGCTGGATCTGCTGATGTTAAGGTACTACATACCGGTAGACATGTAGAGGTGTGACAAAAAAAAAACATGCAAAGGGTTCAAAACAACGTACAGCAGCTAAAATATTTTTTGTTTCAGATGCGACGTAAGCAGATCCAGAAGATGGTGTGGTGGCTGCCGCCTCCCCGTGGCCACACTGGATAACGCTAAGCGCAGCCGAATATATATATATATATATAATGATTTTGTTGCAGGAACAGAGTAAATACGTACACGCTTCACGATGTTCCAATGTCTAAAGTGCGAAAGGACCTTCACGGCGAGAAAAAATTTGTTGAAGCACGGTAGAGAGCGGTGCAGCCAAGATGGTGAGCCAGCATCGAAGCGCTTCTGTCTTCGAGATGGAACAGGTATTGAACAATTAGAAAATAAAATCGAATAAAATCACTAACAGAATTATCTGTTTCAGCATCCTTTAACCAGGAAGGTGGTACCTCCAGCATTCCCCAATCTCCAAGTCTCGAGGACAGTAATGCATCCTCTTCGCGCCGCACTGCAGACAAGTTGCAATGTTCTCGATGTCAGCACACCTTCTCAGCACGCCATAATTTACTGCAACATCTTAGAGAGGTCTGCATAAGCGAGAAAAGACCTTCCAAGCAACAACGTATGGAGGGTGAGATTACTAACAATGAGCCAACTATTGCAGATTTCATCACCCAGACAGCCGCAGGTGTCAACATTAGACGAGTGAACCCTGCAACACCCCCGTTGCAGTGCCTGGAACCAGTCGAATGAGTCCTACACCATCCGACGTCGCAGTGCCGGGCGCAAGTCGAGAGAGTTCAACCACCGGCAACGATTCACAGGCGAGTGCGGGTAGCAGGACAATTCGCTGTGAGAGTTGCAGCTGTGAGGTATCGAGGAATGCACATGCGGCACATTTGAAAAGCATTAAACATAAGGCACATCTATGGAGACCTTTACAAAATAATGTGTCAGTATGTCGAAGTGCATTCCGAGGTAGAATAGTTAGTTATCAAATAACCGCTAGCATAGAGACTTTGAACGTTACTGTATATATGAATAATGTGGCACAGGACTCCATAAACGTAATTGAAAATGAGTTGCATAAGCATACAACACTCAAAATAAATATGGAACTTTTTGGTTTATATATTTTACCAGCTAAAAACCGACGAGAGGTAAAGTCCCACAATACGAACAATGTAATAATTACACAATCCTCAAATTTGAATCAAATCTATTATGATCTAGGTAGTAAAATCGAACAAAAATCGAAAGACTTTGCAGAAAAAGACTCAGGGTGGGTGTTGGAAAACATTTTATATTTAGAAATTAATATTAATAAATATAATCCTTTGAGGGCAGCAGCATATTGGCCGCTTCCTAAGGAAATCACGAACAAAAAAGCTGTACTCAACATACGTAACACGGATGAGTACTGCTTTGCATGGTCGATTGTAGCTGGTATGATAAAACCAAAGGGTCGAGCGTCACTAACAACGTCATATCCACATTTTTCGAACATTCCTGGTTTAAACTTTGCAGGAATGGACTTTCCAGTTGCTCTCAAGTCAATATCAGAATTTGAAAGATTGAATAATATGTCAATTAACGTTTATGGAATAGAAAAGGAATTCATTGATGGAAAGTCTAAATATCAGGTGGTAGGACCGTTACATTACACGGCGCAAAAACAACCCACTCATCTGAACTTATTACTTATTGATGATTCAGAAGGTAACCATCATTACTGCCTAATTACCAACTTTTCAAGACTCGTTTCAAGTCAGTTGTCACTTAATACGAGAGTAAAGCATTTTTGTGATGGCTGTTTACAATACTTTGCATCAAAAGACAAACTGGAAATTCACATCCAAAACTATTGCAAACACATTGCAGTTAAGCTGCCCCAACTGGAAACCAGAGTTGATCGCCTTGGAAACACGGTAATGGATAATGTGCTGAAATTTGAACAGCATCACAAACAATTAAGACTACCGTTTTGCGTTTATGCGGACTTTGAATGCATCCTAGCTCCGATAGATAATCACTCAAGTGCTTCAGAGGATGTATGTACTATCAAAAAGTATGAACATAGACCCTCCTCAGTTGCTTATTATATTAAATGTTCTTATAATGATTCACTATCCAAGCTCGAACTGTATAGGGCGTGAGGATGCTGCACAAATTTTTGTTACGCGTTTAGAGGCTGATCTTAAATTAATATATGATCAATATTTAAAACAAAATGTAGCGATGAAAATGACGGCGCACGATAAAAATGTGTTTGGTAAAGCAGAGGTATGTTTCATTTGTGAACATCCATTTACCAATACAAATAGAAAGTTAGGGATCACTGTCATTTCACCGGGCAATATCGTGGCGCAGCACATAGTAAATGCAATCTAAACTATAAGATCCCAAAATACATTCCAATATTTTTCCACAACCTCAAAAACTATGATGCACACCTATTCATAAAACACCTCGCTATGAAGCAAGAACAAATTAAAGTGATTCCACAATCTTTTTAATATATCTTTTTAAAAATATGTTTCATTTACGAAATTGATACCTGTAGACACGTACATTTCCCACGAGGAAAGACACAAACTGTATTTTTGCAGATGCGATTTGTCGATTCATATCAGTTTCTATCGTCAAAATTAGAAACCTTGGCATCCTTTTTAAGCGCAGAACAATGTCGGACGGTACGAAAAGTCTTTCCTGAGGACGAAAAGTTCTCCTACATGAGATGCAAAGGTATATTGCCATATACATATCTGAATAGGTTTGATAAATACGATGAAACATGTTTACCATCCCAACAAGACTTTTATGATGAAATACGTGATGAACACATTTCTGACGAGGATTATGAGCGAGCACGTCATGTCTGGGAAGTAATGGGGTGTCAAAATTTGGGGGAATACTCTGATTTTACTTGACTTCGAATGTTCTTCTTTTAACAGATATCTTTGAAAATTTCAGAGATTTGTGCTTAAAAACGTACAAGCTTGATCCAGCTCACTATTTTACAGCCCCCGGTTTGAGTTGGGATGCGATGCTACGATACAGCAAAGTAGAGTTACAGCTGCTTACAGATGTTGATATGATTCATTTTTTTAAAAAGGGAATTCGGGGGGGAGTCAGTACATGTACCTCACGTAAAGTTGAGGCGAACAATAAATTTCTACCACATTACGATCCGTCAAAGGCATCATCGTATTTAGTTTACCTTGATGCAACAAATTTGTACGGTTATACGATGCAACAGTACCTACCAACTGGTAATTTTGCATGGTTAACACGAGATGAGATGGATAGGATTCAAGAGACAATTACACAGATTTCGGATACATCGGATATTGGGTAGGCATTAGAAGTCGATTTAACCATACCGACTGAGCTACATGATTATTTCAACGATTTTAACAAAAATTCATAGAGGCATTAAATTCACACAATCTGTCTGGTTGAAGTCCTACATACAGTTAAACACCACACTTAGAAATGCAGCACTGAATCCTTTTGAAAGAGATTTTTTCAAACTAATGATCAATTGTATTTTTGGAAAAACCATTGAAAACATGGAGAACAGGGTCGACATCAAATTAGCTACTCAATTTGAAAAATCTAAACATAAAATAGGTGCTGCAAATTATATTAGTAAACCAACTTTTAAAGAGCACAGAATATTTTCTGAAAACTTAGTAGCCATTCAAATGGAAAAAACAATGATTGATTATTGTCGTCCCACATATGTTGGCTTTTGTATTTTAGATGTCTCAAAACGGTAATATATGACTTTTTCTATGACTTTCTGAAGCGTCAATATGGTGATAAGGTGTCTGTAGCTTACACGGACACTGATTCGCTAATAGTACATGTTGAAACCGATAATTTCTATGAGGACATGAAATCACACATACATTACTTTGACACATCCAATTATGATGCTTCCAACCCACATAATATGCCTCAAACAGCGTCAGAGTTGGGTAAGATGAAAGACGAATATGCTGGTAAGATACTGTCTGCATTTTATGGTACAGGTCCCAAAGCATACTGTATAGATGCGGTAGACCAAGTAGCTAAACGAGCCAAAGGTATATCTAAGGCGAGTGTAAAAAATCAGTTACATTTGCCACATTATAAGGATATTGTTGAGGAGAAACGGACATCTGTATACTGTACGATTTATGTATTTAAATCGGAGTCGCACAATATCTACACAAATTATATAAAAAAAGTAGCATTGACCAGTACGGATGATAAACGTTTCTTGATACCAAACTCAACAAAGACATTAACTTGGGGTCATCAAGATATATTATTTCATAACATGTCACATGAGGAGCGCTTGGATACATTACTGCACTTGATGCAAGAAGCCATTGTGTTGAATAATAAGCATCAGATAGCATGATCATAGAATAGGGGTTTGTGGTGGGGACAAGAATATAAATATATTCTTAACAAACGCACCTCATTCAGTTTCAAAGTTGAGTACTACGACATACTATTCACTGTACATGCAATTGTGTCATGTAACTGAAGAGGTGTTGAAAAACCAGCTTCGACAATTTGTGACTCGAAATCCAGAAAAACGAGAATTTCCAGTGCTGGACTTTGTGCTAGAGGAAATTACAATACCTGACGAAGTATTCAATTGGATTACCAATGCCCACAGTTGCCATCCCCACGTGCTTTCCAGTGTAATAACAAAAAAGAAACATCTAGATTGGGTGGTACAGGAAACACTGCAAAGTTTAAAAGAGAGAGATTATGAGGTTTTAAGCATCAAAGAATTTGGAGACCTACTGGAAAATATGCCCTACACACCATCAGCATATGAACAATTTTATTTATGTAAGTTGTTATCTGATAGTAACTATGAAGATGTAGATAAACCGCATCCTGTAGAAAATATTACGAAGAGGTATAAAGACATTGTATCACATATCGATGAAAGCATCTGTAAAATCGCATATCTAGCTGATTGTGTATCACTAGAACGTTTAATCGATATTATACAGCAGCATGATACTAAATTTGTATTTGATGTAGAAAATAAGATGAGACATTATACTGTATTGAAATGGATAAAGAAAAATATAGCCAAGGGTAACATTGGAGATGAAACCCTCGGATGGACCTCTGGACCCTGTAGTGTGAAATGGCCATCCACCAAATTCGAAGATTATGTAGCATGTTTAAAGATCTTGTGTGATTTATCCAAAACGTAAATACTCTGTGTGGGACAAAATTCATTAATATATATATATATATATATATCTATGTCAGCATGAACGGTAGTATCATTTTCCCTTGCACTTGCGTCAACTTTTGGGAGGGGGAAGTTGGTGAATGGAGGGGTGATCAACACTGTATAAAGTTAGCCACGAAGCTTCATATACCAGTCTTCTGAATTTCACATAACGTTACAACATGAGTGCCGGTGTGCAAAACGACAAGGGGGTGAAAAACAATGGCGTTACGTTAAATGAAGAAGACTGGTATGAGATATTAAATCAAGAAGGCGTTATAACCAATTTTTTCTTCAGTGATGATATTTTCCATTCGGTCAGTGCCAACTCCGTCTGTATCACCTTTGAGAGATTTCCAGATTTTCAAACAATCAAAATTGAAGATCGATGGAGAAACGTCGTTTATTTGGGTAAGGAGACCGTATTGAAGCTATTTCAATTAGCCCCGCTGATTGCCTACACCATTAATATGCTGAAAACTCAGGAGTTTAGTAAGTATTTCAACACACTTGTCCAAGATGTGCGAACCACCAACATCGATGTGCGAGACTTCGTCATCCAACACATCTCTGATTTGCCGCATTCGGAGAACATCAGGACTGCTATGGAACTGGCATACCAACATCCAAACTTGAAGGAATTCAACAAGGCTCCAACGCTGAAATTTTATTCAGACTATCCTAACTATTCTGTAAAGTCATTGTAATTAAAAAGAATTTTAAATTACTTATCGTGTTTTATTGAAAAAGCTGTGTTATAAAACTGATTGGTTCAAATAATATACATGTCATGCAAGTAAATCACTTTTTCTAATCCACGAATTATGTCTGTTATCCAGTCCTAAGTACTTGACTAACACTTTATTTTTTTTACGTCGCACCACTTTCTCTACAAGATAGATATTTGGATACTTGACTTTTTGAAGCTCCTCAGCGTAAAATCCACCTAGAATCACGTCACCGCTCGAATCAGCCAGTAAGTATGATGTGGGATTGGTATACTGTATTTTACGGATTGTGAAAATTTCATTGGACCAGTTAGGAGTGTATCCTTTAGCAAATGCTGTCCTATGTTTGCTTATGCGGACATGATCTCCACGTTGATATTTTACACCCTTTGGATCTAACGTTTTCAAATGTGTGTATGCCGTTCTCAACAGTGTTTTTGCTGTACTTTTGTTCACGTCTTTGGGTTTCATCCCAATTGTGCTGTGTTTGGTGTTATTATATGCATCAACGATTGATGATAGGAGATCTAACCATTTATACGATCCCTGAAAGCTGAACTGCTTCCACATACGATTCTTCAAAGTGCGATTCACCCTTTCAACTACACTTGCTTTGGTCGCTGAGTAGGAGCTGTAATGATTAATTTTGTACGCTTCCATTAACTTCTTAAAGTCACTATTGTAGAATTCTTTACCCAGGTCTGTTTGTAAATTTTTCGGAATTGTCTGCATTTGCGATAAAATTGTACTCATTGCAGCTGTCACATCTTTTCCAGTTTTTCGTTTGACTGGTTCTGCCCACACAAATTTACTAAAAACGTTGATGACAATTAAAATGTAACGGAATATTTGTTAACTTTCTGATACGGAAGCATTTCCACCAAATCTGCCTGTAGGAGATCGTTGATACCCTTCACAATAACGCGTCGACGTCTATAATTTCTGCGAGCCGGTTTATGAAGTTCCTCAATGACCTGCTTTTAAAGTCCATCATTCTTGTATGATTGGACAGCGCATCACGATATTACCTATAAGGTCAGGTTTTGGTTCATGAGATGAATAGAAGTTCAGAATATCCCCTTTCGACAGGTGTGTGTCGACTTTGACATCACTTTGACCACATTTCACTCTTATTTTGGGAGGTATATTTATACTATCAACTATCCCGGTCACAGGAACGATATAGTCCCTACTATTTTCACCAAATGTGTAAAATAATGCGCTGAATGTGTTGGGATAAATGGATACCACACATACGCTGAATAGTTTAGATGCTAGAAAAGCACTGAAGATTGAAGATATGTCCCTCTTTTTTGAATGGAGCATATGTCTTCCAAATTTATCAATTGGAATCTTGATCGTACAACTGCAGCAACGAAAATAGAGTAATAGTACGGTACAACTTCATTTTATAATTTTTAATTCGCGCAACTCCTCAATTATAGACATGATTTCATTATTATGCCCGTTATTACCAGCATACGCAGATGCGATGAGCAAGCGCAATCGATTGACCAACTCATTGGGATCATCAAAATACACATACTCAATTGGTTTCGGGGAATACTCTAATATACCACCCCTTACATGTTTGAATGATTGTGATCTGGGTCGAGCTTTAGGAGGTGCCGGTTTCTGAAAAGACCCCGTTTTGCTTGCACCCTCAGCGGATACTTTTATTAGATTGTGTTTTACTAAATATGGTCGAATTATTGTTTTATACTTGAAAGTGTTTACTCCTTGAATTTGTAAATTAGAATCAAAATTACCTCGATATGCATTGGTCCGTTTTAGCATATCCATGTAGTGCTCCAGATCGGTCTGTTTATATCCACGAGGGTCTTTCTTGAACAACAACTCGTACAGACCTGGCGTTCCTGGATATCTGATATTGTCTAAGATTGGATCCGACTCCTCGAGGATTATTGGGGTATTCCCCAATTTTAATTTTTCGCCGATCCAATCGTGTGTTATACCGTGATATCGATCAAAATTCTCTTCATCCCCCCGTATAGACTCATCGATATATTGACGAGGTAATGGATGGAACTGTTCTAAATAACTTTGATAACCAGGTGTTTTGCTTAGGCGCCGAAACTCTTCCCGTGTGTGAGCAATCATTTGTTCGTCAACATCACGTTCTCGTTCTAGTACTGTAGCATCGTGACTTGTGAAAGTGGAATTGTTAATTTGGATGACTCGTCTGGCGACGGGACTCATTGGGTTGCATACGTGAAAAATGGCAATCTTGTCTCATACTTTGATTCATATGGGAATCTGCGCCCTCCACTGCAGCTGATAAGATATTTTGGTAGCAGTGATAAAAATGTTCGCATTGTATACAATTATACTCCAATACAAAAGTTTAATGCTCACAATTGTGGACAGCTATGCTTACAATTTCTATATATTTCTTACTGTTACTCCTAATACAGAAGTTGCAATTAAAACGTTCTACAGTAATGACGTCCCTCACATTTACGCTGTCGGGAACTTCTTCCACTCTCCAATCACATTTTAATCCCCCGCTATATCTTGATGATAATGTGGACTATGAAATCGGGTTGTGCAACTTTGAATCCTTCAATGTTATTCCCAATATAGACGAAACTAATAATAAGTTTCCATGTGACAATGAACTACTTACATTTCCTACAGGCGCATATGAAATTCGAGATATTATTGATTATTTAGATCAAAATCTCCCAGAAGGGAAAATTATTAGCATTACACCTCATATGAATTCTACAACAGTTTCTCTCAAAGCCAATTTTACGATTGATTTTTCACAGAATGGTACCATTGCATCCCTTCTCGGATTTCAACCTCGACGTCTTGACCCAATCATTAGACATACGTCTGATTTTCCTGTGCAAATTTTGAAAGTGAATTCAATATGTGTTGCTTGCAATGTAGCCACAGGCTCATATTCCAACGGTGTGCCAAGCCACATTATCCATCAATTTTTTCCCTCTGTTTCGCCCGGGTATAAAATCGTTGAATCACCTCAAAATATTTTATATTTCCCAGTGAGTGTTAAAGCAATCACAACCATTACCGTCAACATTGTTGATCAAGACGGTCACATAATTAATTTTCGTAACGAGACCATTACACTTCGACTTCATTTACGATCCGGTAACAATGGGCATTAGATATTACGCGCCTCCGATCTCTTTTCCCTATAAAAAGCGAGGTCAGTCGAAACCATCTATTAGTGGTAAGCCGTCCCGCATACGCAGAAGATCATTTCGACAACAATCAACATTGCAACTTACTAACGATAATAGAAAATTTTTGGAAAATCTATGTTTTCACGTGTTGTAGGATGAGTATTCTCAACGTTACACAAAAACCTCTTGTTGATAATTCTATTACAGAACTAGAGTATCACACTTATCAACCTTTTATCAATTCCAACTTTGACTACAACGATGAAATTCGCATTTCTGTTCAAGAACTAGATGCCTATACCCTCCCGTCACAAAGTCTTTTGTATCTCGAAGGAGAATTAACCAAAGCCGATGGAACTGCTGTTACGACTAAAAACGCTGATGGAACTACTGTTACAACTCTGCAATTAATCAATAACGCTTTTGCTTTTCTGTTCCATGAGCTCCGTTATGAACTGAACGGAGTTGTAGTCGATTCCGTTCGAAATGTTGGTCTTACCTCCACCCTTAAAGGGTATCTGTCTTTTAATGAAAATGAGAGTTCACGCTTGCAAAATGCTGGCTGGTTCCCAAAAGACACTTTTATTTCTGAGTCTGGCAAGTTCAATGTTTGTATTCCTTTAAGCATGTGGATGGGATTCTTTGAAGACTATCGAAAAATTCTCCTCAATATGAAACAGGAGTTAGTATTAATCCGTAGTAGTCATGACCTTGATGCTGTTGTAGCAACTACTACATCCGAACAACCAAAAATTCGGATTGATAAGATTCAGTGGAGAGTACCCCACGTATCTGTTGACATTCCTCAGCAACTAGCTCTTACAAAAATTCTCAACAAAAACATGGAAATTCCACTATATTTTCGCAGTTGGGAACTAGTAGAGTATCCATCACTCCCTGAAACAACGCGTCACACCTGGCCAGTCAAAACTACAACGAAGCTCGAGACCCCTAGACATGTTATCCTAGCCTTTCAAACTAATAAAAACAAGTATCTACCTCCAATATGTCACAATTTGATCATTGCAAGTTGACCAATATTCGGGTTTTCCTCAACTCCGACCGCTTCCCATATAATGATCTCTTGTTGGATTTTAAAAATCAAAAATTTGCTCTCTTGTATGAAATGTACTCAAAATTCCGCTCCTCCTATTATGAGAGTGAAAATGAACCTCTGTTTTCCCCAAAAGATTTCCTTTCTATTGCCCCTATCACACATATTGATTGCTCTAAACAGAAGGAAAGTATCCAATCTGGATCGGTGGTTATGCGAATTGAATTTGAGACAAGTGAAAATGTTCCTCCGGAAACATCTGCTTACTGTCTCATCCTACACGATCGCGTTTTCACCTACAACCCTTTAACCAAAATTGTTAAACAGCGATAGAGCTTAATCAATCATGACCAATCACAATATAAATATTTTTGTTCAGACTAAATCTCCTTCATTCTCATTATGACATCATCCTACAGACAAGCTCTCAGAGAGTATTATCAGAAATTGCAAAGTTTGAAAGAAGCACTCAATTCCTATTGTCAAAGACGCATTCTATATACAAAATTCTCCAACTTACAAATATGAGTGTCGTTTTGGATGTTCAAGGATTTAAAATTGAAAATAATAAATTTCTCGCAAAAGAATTTTGCGCCTATGATCGTGTTAGGTTATGTCATTATATTTTCAAAGCTCCTTTTCCTTGGGATCTGCTGCCACCACCGTTGAAGATTCAGGCGAAGTGGTTGACTGATAATTACCATGGTATCTCCTGGAATTCAGGGTTTACACCCCTACATAAGTTTGGAAACATTATTAAACATATTGCGGACGGGGCAGACAGAATTTATGTGAAAGGACGTGAAAAAGCAGCCTACCTGAGAAACTTCACCAGCAAACCAATAATCGAGCTTGAAGAGCAGCCCCGCCTCACCCCTTCACCGGCGAAGTGTTTTTACCATACAACAGATATTTGCATGTGTGCGATGTCTAACGTTTTTTATTTGTATGAAAATTTCATCATGTCATAATTTTGGTCAATAAACATATGTTTCTTCATTTAATGTATTTTTTACCCCTTCCTCCCACATAACACTACACAATATTCCTATCTTACAATCTTATTATTTTATAAATACATCAAAGCGTTGCTTCTTCCCCTCTATTTTTACATTACATTACATACTCGAAATTTTACTAAACCTACTTCTTACTACTTTTATACATATCACAGACATACCTCCACTTTAATAATTTACACTTTGAACCTTTCTGTAAACACTGTTTGCCTATAATCTACTGTCAAGTATTTTTTTAACACTTCTTCGACTAGTTGCACTCGCCTTTGAAACCTACATCTATCTGCCATCTCCCCGTTACTTCTTCGAGCTTCTCTATATGCATATTGCCATGCATACATGATATGTACTTTGTTTTTTGTTTCGTTGAAGGATACGGTCTTTGGAATAATACTTATATGTTCACCTTCATTGCACATGTTACTTTTGCTGGTGCACTTTTTAGTCACCCCACTACTTTTTTCTTCTACCAACATTGTCTCCACTCTCTTAAACCTTGCTTCCGTTTGCCAACAATACCTCCACCCTCTGAAACCCTGCTTCCTTCACTGCTGCACCTGTCGCAATCTCCTTCTCTCCTGTATAATCCATCTTAGTCTCGCACCACGACCCCTGCCTGGAGGTATACTTCTCTGCATGGGCACCTGAATCAACTGATTCGAATTAGAACCTGCTTCATCATCCCAATTCTCTTCCACTGCCACTTCCGGCGCCGGATTCCTGTCTCCATATCGGCTAACCGGTGTGGTGTCCATGGGTGTTCGGGACCCAGATGGAGGATGCTGCGGTGTGGTGTTCATAGGTGTTCTGGACTCAGATGGTTGATGCGGCGGTGTGGTGCCCATATGCGTTCTGGGCCATGGGTCGTCCCAATTTTCTTCTTCAGGATGTATTCTGTTGAATGGGCGTATAACCGCCACCGGCTTCCCCTCCCACACCGTCGGCAACTTAAATGTTTGTCTTGCACTCATTGTTTGATTCGTGCTGTCTGCTAACGACTGCCTCCTCTCCGAGCGCTGCACTAATTTAAACACATATTTCCAAGGTCATACCGTCTACCACTCACGACTTCAAGGTCACATTTCAAGGTCATATTTCAAGGTCATATTTCAAGGTCATATTTCGATTCAAGGTCACATTTCAAGGCTATATTTCAAGGTTGCATTTCAAGGTCATATTTCAAGGCCATGTTTCAAGGTTACATTTCAAGGTCACATTTCGAGGTTAAATATGCGTTCAAGGTTGGCTCCCAAGGTCGACTCTCAAGGGCGTTCTAGAACAGACAAACCCTACCTACTCCCGCCACTATTAACGGTGGCTTCATCGGTCCAAGGAGGAATTTGAAATAAAAATTTCTATTAGCGCGTACAATGCCTAACATCCAATGGCAATAGTCCAACCTCCGATCAAAGTCTTCATCTTTCAATGCCTGTCGTAAAACGACATGATATGGGGGCATTCTAAATGTATTTAAAAAAAAGTTAAATTCAAATAAATCTCTATATTTTGATTGCCATTAGAACCTACCAATTATGGTCCTTCAAAATATTTTGAACCGTTGTTCGTGATATACCCAACTCAAGGGATAATGCCCTTGTGCTAACATGAGGATTTCCTTCAATACGCGTTTACTATTTTCTTGTGTTCTTCCAGTTCTTTGCCATTGAAACGCAGACCGAAAACAACCATTGACTCGTAAGCTCGCCACTAATCTGGAAAAAACTTTCACATCGCAAAAACGCCGAATTGGATATCGAGTCGCGTAAACTCTTTTTGCTATTGCGGCATTCTGAAGACATTAAAAATAAACTGCAAAATATTGGCAACTATTGATAATTTGAGGATTATCTATATTTTGATAAGGTATTTGTTTTGTTGCATTCCATGGCCTGCTTCTATTAATTGTCTCTTTCGTATAAGCATTTAAACAAGAATATGCCTTATGTTATTAGCGTTACTTACCTTTTATTGATATTTTGTGATATTTTCAAAAAGGGTGATTTTAGTCTGATGAAAAAAAAGAATTCCAGAAGAATTAGTTTAAAAAATAATAATTTAAGGGACTTCCGTGTAAATTTTCTTTGGCCTAATTTTTGGGTTATAAACAAGATATCGAGATGCGGTTTTCGCGAGTTTGTTTGGACATCATTTAGCTACTTTCTCGTAAAAAAATAATTTCAATGCATTTATTTATTTATTCATTTTGGCCGTTTTAGTAAGAGCTTTTTTGTCGCAAGCGTCTACGATGGATAGGTTCCCAGATACAGTACCTCGCATTCTTAGTTGGCCACCCGGTACAAAACTCCCCGTGAGTGCGAGAGATACAACCGGCTGCCGCCACTATGCTGCATCCCTCTCGCGCTGAGTACCTACAGTACAAAATATTGCTCGATAAAATGCTCCATAAATATCGGAAAAATAATATGATAGCGATACTTATCTCGTGAAATGTTCCTTTTGTCAAGAGCTATCTGACCTTGAAGCAGTGTAATCAGCTGCTTATAATCTGATTATAATATCATTTTATACTTCATATCCGGTACTTTTGATGCTGGTAAAACTCCATGTTTTTCTGCCCAATAAATACAACCACATAAGCAGGAATAACTCTTCATACTGACGTTTCCGCCACCTCGGTAGCTTTTTCAAAGTACAAATTAAAATGATAATATTTTGTCAATGTCATTTTTAGCACGTATGTACCTTGAAAAAGGCTACGGAGGTGGCCAAAACGTCTGTAAGAAGTAATTCCTGTATATACGAGTATCTGGTTTCATTTAGCAATCAGAGAAACATGCGAGCTTTACCAAGAAATAGCATTACCACATCTACTAGCTTCAAATCAATCACCAATTTTGAGCCTCAATGAAACATTTCATTTTCATTTGAATACAGAAATAGGAGATATGAAACTTATCCTGTGATTTACAAGTCAATAATCTCCCATGTTTGTGTGGCCAATAAAACCACGTGTATTGACAGAATCTTCGTGACTGGAAACGTTTCAATCACAAGGGTGATCAATACAATATCAATATAGAAGATCAGTTTTGTGATTGAAACGTTTACAGTAAAGAAGATTTTGACAATACATGTGGTTTTGTTGGTCAGACAAGCAGGGGGGGATTATGTATTGACAGAATCTTCTTTAATGTAAACGTTTTAATCGCAAAGGTGATCTTCTATGACAAATTAAGGCTTTCGCGGCCAGTTGATAAACTGCTGTCTTGATTCGGGTCTAAAGACCGTCGTCGGTTGGAATTTCTTCCTAACGATTCGCTAGCACGAGTGGCAAGCTTGTTTAGAGGTCCTTCCATTTCCGATGCAGGATGAATGGAAGGACCTCAGAAGAAGCTTGCCACTCGTGCTAGTGAAACGTTAGGAAGAAATTCCAACCGACGACGGACTTTAGACCCGAATCAAGACAGCAGTTTGTGATCTTCTATATTGCCATTGTACTGAAGAAGATCACCTTTATGTTTGAAACTTCCCAGTAAAAAAGATTCTGTCAATACATGTAGTTTTATTGGCTAGACAAGTATGGGGGATTATGTATTGATAGAATCTTCCCTACTGTAAGCGTTCTAGTTAAAAAGGTGAATCTTCTATATTGTCATTCTTCTGAAGAAAATCACCTTTGTGATTGAAACGTTTACAGTAAAGAAGAATCTGTCACTACTTGCGGTTTTATTGACCAGACAATCATGGGGATTATAAAAATAATGAAGTTTAGAAAATATTGTCTCTTCCTTGTTTCATATTAATACAAAAAATCCATGATGCAGTAATTTAAACTATTTCCAGCAAGCTCTAGTCCTAGGCTATCCTAAACCATTCAAATTCAATTTAGATTGTATATCATCAACCCTTCCAGTCGAAGCATTAGACACGTTTTTAAAAGACAATGAATGTTTTGGTAAAACAACTTTACCAGCTTATTGCGTTATAATATACATAAATAATCCAGCACCTGTATCATCTATACTCATAGAAAAAATAAGACATAGGTGTAAGTAGGTAAGTACTGGTACTTGAAAACATCGGTACATATGACAGCTACACTGAAGATTGATAAGGGACTTACACATATGTATATAAAACGGAATGAGATGACATCTGGTCTAGTTTCTCTGAAACCACCATGGGTTTCAAGTCAGTTCTCCTTGTTACACTGGGCTCTTTGCTCTCTTTCTGGTAAGAACCTGCAACTTTATTTCACAACTCTTCACTCTTGTGGCAAAGCATATTAGTGCCGAATCTTTTATAAGAAATATAATGAAACTTCAAATATTATTTAATCCACTCATGTTTCCACCGTTAATACTAAGACGGACCTTGAAGATCAAAAAACGGTCCAATAGGTTGATGCTTTTCACGAAGGTATATTCTGAGAGAAATTGTTTTTTTTTTGTCAATGATATTCTGTATATGCAATGATTTTCATCATAAACCGTCAAAATAATAGCCTCCACTAGGTTGACTCTGCACTTTCTACTTAACAATATCATCAGTTCATAAATGACTATATTCGGCACATCTACAAACATGTAAAACAAATATATTAAATAGATCGAGTCAGTCAAACAAGTCCATACAATTAAAATTTGAGACATACCTCCAACCCACTGCAACATTCCACTCCCCAATTTTTGACCACAACAATATGTTTCTGAAAATGGGCAGGAGTCTCTCAAACGTCAAAAAAATGAGATATTTTAAATTTTTCGTGTTTGGCCCGTTGCTGGGCCGACTCTGGATCTATCTTCAAAAATTATAAAGATTTTCGTCCTTGGCATAATGGAAAACTTGTGGGTTTCATCAAAGTTCGATGGGTACTTTCCTAGTCAGAGAGGGTCAAGATATTAGTGGAGAGACACACATTCAAATTTTTTGTGCGGTTACAATACTTAATAAGTTAAATAGATGGAATACCTAAACCTAGCTGGACGAGCAATATTGAGTCAGAATTGATTCACACTCACTACATTGCTTGAATTGTATATTTATAGTAACACATTGTATATGTTTTCTAGCTCCACAGTCAAAGTGAACAAGCACTTCTTTCCACCAAACTTCAAGATTGGAGTGGCTAATGCAGCAGCCCAGATTGAAGGAGCGTGGAATGAAGATGGTAAAGGCGAGACCATCTGGGATAGGTTCGCCATGAGTCACCCAGACTGGATCTTCGATCATTCATCTCCACAAGTAGCTGCTGATTCTTACCATAAGTGGAGAGAAGATGTTGAAATGGTTAAAGAGATGGGCGTGGACCATTACAGGCTCTCAATAGGTATGTATTATATACTAGCTTAAACCCGCGGCTCCGCCCGCATGGAAGTAGTAAGATGTACCTATAGGTCGTTCTTTTTTATTCAACATTTTAATGCAACAATAAATTGATAATAAATGTGCAATCATAATCACAATAAATAACACGTGAAGTACCTCAGAGACAATTACTATTTATTATAACATA